GAGATTTTGTTAAAAAGTTTTTCATGAGTTTCATATTTGTTTTTTCTCATTTTATATATTTGCAATATATATATATATACATATATATATATATATGTATATATATATGTATTTACAAGATAGGTGAAATTTTAGTTTTATAGCTAATTATTCCTAAATTTCAATGCTAAAGGCATTTACTAATTTTTAAGAGACCTATAGAACAAATCAAACCCGACCAAGGCAGAGTTGTATTAAGTTTCTTACCAACCATCAGGTAGGCTACTCATTACCTGATTTGGACTCTAACTACAGTGTGAAGAGTAGGGAGCTCTTCTTGTCCCCCATGGCCTGTTTATGTTCCTCAAGGACAACCACCAGCTCAATCTTCATGAGTGAGCCATTTGAGAGGATTATCACATACCTTCTTTGTCCTTTTGTGTACTTAAGTGGGAGAGCAGGTTGTCATTGGTTTGTGTGCAGTATACCTCCCGGGTCTGGATGCCACCTCCACAGAGGGCTGTCTGATTGGCACGCCTCTTGTCCTGTTGACTGAGCAAAGGGTCCACGTGGCACTCTGTCCACTCTGTAGTTCTCCAGCCATACCTAGATGAAGAGAATCTGAGGGTAGCAGCATTGCTTATTCAGGAAAATGTTTCTCTGCTCTTTTCAGACTTTTTTTTTTTGTAAAACTTAAACTCAAAAACATTTCCTCTGGAGCCAGTGCAGACTCCCAGTCTGATGCAGATTCCTTTTCAATAGCTTCCTTTTCCTCAAGTTGGCACCCTTTAGAGGGGTTAAATGTAGAATGTGCCTGTTTTAATTGCAACTGCTGGAAGTTACTTATCAATATTTTATGAAATAAGAACATAATGCTGAAAACATGAAATTTTATGTGCAATTAAACTGAACTCAAGCTTGCCCTCTCTTAATGCTTATAAACAAAGGCAGCCTGAATCTAAGAATGCCAAACATTCTAAGTGATGACGAGCCCAAACACTTGTTTTGCTTTTAATAAAATGCATGAAAATTGCTTATTCATATTGGAGCAAAATGATAATTGCATGCTAGATTTAAAAATATAGCAGAGCAATTCAGAGCTTTCTCATTAAAGAGAATCAGAAGTGTTTCATGTACGTGCTCTGTAGAGCCCAGCATTCTTGATGAATGCCAATGAATGATGGGAAAAGCTGACTAGGCTGTTAGTAAAGCACAGAAAAGATGATCCCTGATTCTCAGAGCTCCAATCAAGATTATGATTTGAAAGCAATGTTGGGGTTGTCAGCTTGACTCTCCCTAGAAGGAGACAGACAGGGAAGCATTTCCTCATGTCACCAACAATAGAAAGTGATAGCATTTCTCCACCTCTAGGAAAGTAGATACGTTAAAAGCCCAGAGGAAATGGCTCAAGTAGCACTTTGTCAGTCTAACCATGATGCTTCCCATGCATCAGATTAATAGCTAACAGGGATATAAATGGATGTGCTCATCTCAATTAGACAAAATGGTTAAAGGTGCCCTTAGATGTCTGCTCTGGGTGCTTGGATCTGTCAATGGTGAATAATTTGCCAGTTAAATTGAGATTTCTTCCCATTTTCATTTTTATAAGTGGGGGTTTGGAGATGCACAGTTGTGGGATTGGGCCATCAATGAACTTCACTCAACCTTGTTTATGAAGGAAGAGTATTTATAGATACATGGATAACTGAGACTTTGTTGTAGGAATTGGGTAAAGGAAAGTAAAATGAAACAACTAATTTTCTATGGGAGTTAGAATGGTATATTAAAAAAAAAAAACTAGGATGGCCTTCCAGTTTAGGCCACTCTAAGGAGTAATTTATTATTTATAAATTATTATATATATATATATTATACAATTAAGTAGGTTGTTATATATTTTCTACATATGTAAATAAAGTCTGCTCAGTCTGTATAACGTTACTTAGAGATAAAAACAAAATTTCAATAATATAAGTAGTTGATATATTCCAAGCAAAGCCCTACCCTAGAAGATAAAGAGAACCAATGATATCTGCTTTAATATGTATTCGAATATTTAAGAATATAAAACAGGGAGGCACAATAGTTAGACAAAAGCAGAAGAAACTTCCTATAGAGACAACATCTACAAGTCTGGTAGTATCCCTGAGCTCTGTAATAGAGAATAACCATTGTAGTCTGTGAGACCTAGAGAGCATATTAAGCGAACTGGGTTTTTTAGTCCCTTCCTGTATGGGAAGATTGTAGATGATTGCAAAACACTTCATGCAAACCATTGCTGTTTTAGGTATCATGTCAATATACTAGTAGCACTAATTTGCCTCTTGCTGGTTAATGAATGTATTAGTATGGAATATTATGGAATGTATTAATGAATGGAATATATTCATGTCCATTAATTTGTGGACAATCCAGAGAAGCTCCTAGTGGAGTGTGAACAACAAGATTCTCTTAAGTTTTCTTATAAATTCTCTATATTCAGATAAATTAGAAACGTTGTTAAGATAACTTCTTGTAATGTCTTGGAAAAATATTCTTAAGGAAAAATATTGTTATATTGGCAAATATTTCAGGAATTAGTTTTATTTCATCTAAGGTAAATGAATGTTTATTAGGTACTTTAATGTGTACTAGGCCCTATAATACATGCTTGTGATGAAACAAACAAAAACCAAAATCTCTACAACTCCAAACACTTAAAAAAATCCCTTAATTTTGGTGCAGTTGTTTTTATTCTACTTCATTAAAATTGCTATATACATTAATAAATTTTAGTATGTCACAGGAATCTGTGATTTCAATGTTTGGATGTTGACAAATAGTGGACCAAAGACAAAATTAACATGTCCCTTACTTTTGTCAATAAATTTTTATGGGAACATGGACACACTCATTTACATACCAACTGTATCTCTACTGATGGTGCTGACTAATTGCAACCAAGAAATACATACCCTGTCCAATCTAATGTCCTCATTATATGCCATTTACTAAAATAATTCACCAACGAATATTATAGAATACTCTAAAAGAATTGCTTTTAAAATCTAGCCTTTATGGAGATTTAGAAGTGTAGTTGTTAAATACATTTTCATACGGTAGAAGAAGCACATTTTTATTGGATAAACTTTGTAATGAGATACTCAAGGTTTCTTCTTAGTAGGTTCAAAACATTCACCATTTCTATTTTGTTACGTCTGAAACAGTATTTTAAGTCAGAATACTTATATAACAAGTTTCAAATATTTTTCAAATATCAGAGAGCTAAAGGGGCATGCCATCTGAGGACACAACACTCTCAGTTTTACTCACGTGGCACAGAGGACAGCTCCATCTCCCTGAGACAAACAGGGTTCTTTCTCCTCAAGTTCTGGACATTCCTTTTCACTTCCAATTGGAAGCTGCCTGATGGTCCTTGTCCTTACACGAGTGCCAGTGGGGGATGTGACATCATGGCATGTTTTTGAACATGGGCTCCATTCCAACCATTCAGACACTTGGCACTCTTTAGTGATCACACAGGACTGGAAAGTCATGGGCAGTTTCTCTTGTTGGCAAAAGCTGTAACAAAGCAATTGGTATCTTTTACCTCAGACTCATACACAGTTGGAAACTTTGTTTTCAACACCTCAGAATAAAATCAGCTTGGATGTTTGAATTTCTAAGTGGACCTGGGGTTGACAGTTTCACTGAAAATATGTTAACATTTGCAAAGTGCAGTGGAAAAATAAGCCAACATTAATATTTGCCTCAACTCATTTTGCAGGGTGGAGTTGTTAATCTACTCATAAGAAGTAGAAAATAAAGAAGAGTCAGTGAAATTGACCAAAGCTGAGTTTATCCCCTTGATCTTATTCATTCTAGGTTTATTTTAATTTAGAAAAGAAGAAACCTAAAACTCTTACTTCCTAGCTTCAGTATTTTTGGACTGGAAATCATAATTTAATATGTGTCTTAAAATAATTTTGTCAGTTATGACTTACAGTTGTAATATATGGTTATCCAGATATATCAACCTTTCTAATTTATACATTTTTAAATTTCATTTTGTATCTGTCTGTGTATAAGTTTGTGAGTCTATGGTATGTGCAGAGCCAAGTAGAGAGTAGTTGATTCTTGGGAGCTGGAGACAGATAGTTGTGTGTTCCGTGATGTGGATGCTGAGAACTAAACATTGGTCCTCTGGAGAAGCCATGTCTCCAGTCTGTCTAACTAATATGAAATTCTGTAACTATCCTGATTAAGAACTCAATAATATTTTCAAAATAATGATCTATTTCCTACCTATAAGAGAGGCAAACTCTGAGGAGACTGTAAATATATATCTTACCAATAATGTATTTGTATTCAAATTATTGTCTTTTTAATTCTCTTTGAATCTGAGGCATATTGGATTCAAAATTGTAATATCAACAAATAAAGCAAAAGATGGCATTATGGATGTCAAGAGGTAATGGTCCAAATAGTTTGAGTTTTTCTGGAATTTTACTCTTAGTTGGACTCTTGTCCAGACTCAGTAACCAATACTGTATGCACAGTCACAGAGGCAACCTGTTGTGATCATAGTTACCCAGCCTGATGGAGAAGTCACTGATCATTCCATCTCAATCAGGGTCCATATTCATTTGTTCTAATTACCCAGAGATGGAGGCAGGTCCATTTTACTCTAACGATTACGTCCTGTTATCCTAATCATACCTCTATTCCCACAATAAAATTAGAGCTGAAAACCTCAAAGCCAGTTTGTTGATCCTGAAAAGCCTGAGCAGAAAATCATCGGAGGATGGTTAAAAGGAGGCCTGTGAGTTAGTTCTGTTTCCCTACACCAGAGCAAAGGCCACCTGTGCTCCAGTGTTACATAAGTACTGGCATTAATGGTCTCCTTAGGTATAACATTGTGAATTTTCTTGGTGATGAGCAACTTTCTGATGAGCTTTGTGTTTTCGTGAAACTCCAAACAGTGGGAGTGGGTGTGTCTCTGACTCTTTTGACTATTCTTGGGACTCTTTTCTTCCTATTGGGTTGCCATGTCCAGCCTCAATATGGGAGCTTTTGCTGTGTCTCATTGTATCCTGTTTTATTTGTCTTTGGTTGTTGTTTCTTAGAATTTCATGAAGAGGAAATGGAGAGGGAGTGGATCTGGGAGAAAGGGGATGTGGGCAGGAATTTGGGAGGAGTGGAGGGAGGGGAAATTGTTGTTGGCATGTTTTGTGTGAGAGAAGAATCTATTAAACAAAAAGCTTTGCTGACATTGCAGGCACTCATGGAGGTCCAGTGTAAGACAGTCCATGGTACTTCTGGCCTTTCTAGAGCTCTCCACACTGATTTTCATAATGGCTGTACTGATTTGTAATACCACCAAACAGTGGTTGAGAATACTTTCCCCCCATACGTCTCAGAATTATTTGTCAGATTCTATTCCACTCCTTGTCGTGTACCCAAAGAATTTTATAATCTACCCCAGAGATCTACGCTTAAACATAACTCTTTATTGCCATTATAGGCAAAATAGCTAGGAAATGCAAACAATCTAAATGCTCCTCCATTGATGAATGGGTAATAAATATGTAGTAAACTGTGAAACTATTTAGCTATAAATAAAAAAAATGAACCAGGAAATTTTCAGGTAAATTAATGGAGCTGTAAACTATTATACTAAGTGAGGTCAAACAGACCTAGCAAGAAAAATGCTATATGAGGTCTCTTATTTGTCTGTCCTAGTTTTGAATCGTCAGATTTGAGCATATAGCCTGAAGTATCCTAACAATATAGAGGAGGAAAGGGACCATGGAAGCAGGAGAGGAGAAGGAGTTCTAGGGAGGGGTCACAGTAAGAGACAGGTGTTAGGAGGTGGGTAATGGGTTAATGAGGAAGGACTTTAACCAGGAGGAAAGGGTAATGCAGCGGAAAATGGGAGATGGGGAGATAAATAATACTAAGGATCCTTGAAAGACAGAAACATTGTTTTATGCTTACTTAAAATATGTTTACACACACACACACACACACACACACACACACACACACACACACACATCACTTTATGGGGTGTAACTTTATTGTACATATATATTCAATAAAGTTGCACCCCATAAAGTGGTGGGGCTCCACTCAAGAATCATATAGCATTTAATAAAACCCCAGACCAGGTATGGCAAACCTCCCCATGAGTTTTTGATTGGAGAAATATAAAAATCTTTTAAAATAATAGAGACTATTGCTATTCCTCTCCATTTACCTCCAAAACTTAAAAGTAAGATTGTATTGCTGAAGATCCACAGACTTTGATCTTGGTAAGTAGAATGATTGATACTAAATTGATTTGGGGCACTTCCTTGAGGACTGGTTCTCACAGAATTGGAGGTACTATGCAATTGCCAAGGGTAAGGAGCAACTAACTGCCAGTCTTACCCATCATAAAGCTTATGAAACACATCAATGATTAGGCTTGTAAGATATCTAAAACAGCAAAATGGTGGTACTTTTATTTTAGAGGTAACCAAGAACTGCTCAACAGAGTTCATGCTGGATACTATAAACAAAGCCAGGTACCCAGGACTAGAAAATCCACAGACTGCAACCAAGAATCTGCTGTTGCTATATTTATACAACAATGTAACTCTGGCTTCCTGAATGCCTCTGCTTATACCCAAGTCAAGTGTATTTCTCACCCCTCATCAAAAAACGAAAGAAAAGAAAACAAAACAAACAAAAAAACCTCTTTTACCACTATGGAGACTATTAGAAAGATCTACAACTCTTCAAAATGTGTCATGACCTATGAAAAGGAGATCATTTCATTTTGACTAATGGTCAGAGAGTTTAAAAATGTCCTTATGTTCTTAAGTCTATAGCTTGGTGGCTATAGGATATCTTGGCCTTTGCAGTGGATGTCTTTTAACTAAATGACAGTAGACTTGTGCTCAGGTGTGTTTACTCTGGAAGCTGAAGGCCAGATGGCAGGTATGGCTACCATATACCTAGATGATTCAGGGAAGTAAATCTCTGCCCTTTATACATGATAATAGAAGTCTTCTGCCATTTTGTCCTCACTGTTGAATACATAAGATGGTGTAAAAATAAACTAAGTTGAATTCAGTATGGATTGGATATGCCCTCCTGACAACTATCCTTTCTCTCTGTCTTGGGTTCTTAACCCCCTTTTAGCTAGCAGTTCCGTCATCCACAGTCCCCCACTCAGGTAGGAACCTGGGGCTGTTTGGCTGGATCCCACTGTAGCCCCACAAAGACAGTTTCCAAAAAAAAAATGTATAGGATAAGAGATCATAGAGTATCCAGCCCCAAATGATGAATCTGAAATGCTACTCCTACACTTGTGGCTTGCAGAAGAGCATGTGGAATGACTGGAAAAATCAGAAGACCAAAGCAGTGGCTGCAAGATAATGTCCCATTGACTAGAAGGGAAAGATGCACCTATGAAATCACCACAATGTAATTGTTTAAACAAGATGAGCATATGAAAACACCAGCTGACATGTCAAGATGGACAGGATATATCCACATGGTCCCCATTCCTAGATGAAGAGCTATGGGTGAACAGCAGTTGCTAAACGATTGAGAATTAGTTTCCTCCAGGAACTAGATTCCCCGTTGGTTATTCCATCCAATATTTTTTTTTTTTTCATATGGGCAACACTAAATGGGCTCAGTGTGTGATGTATGCATGTGTACTCATATATATATATATGAGAAGAGATTTTGAATTTGAGAGGGAGAGGCATGGTGCTAGGAAGAGTTGGATGGGTAGTCGGAAGAGTTTCTTAAATTAAAATTTTTGTAAAAAATAAATGACCTGCTATGGGTGAGTATTCCATTAAAAGATTTGTAACCAAACGAGGTATTTGGGTTTTATGAAATGCCATACAGCAAGGTGAGAGAATTAACAAAAATATAAGGTTGAATACAGCGACTCTCACAATGACTGGTAGTCATAATAAATGTATTTATTAATGTCTGACAAATAATTTTCTAACCTCTATGTCTGGGAAGTGTGTAAAACAGTGAATAACTTTATGCTCAGAACAACTTTATGAGGAAATAGTTCAACTTGGTTACAGCTAAGTAAGCTTTTGTTTCCTTTTCTATTTCCCTTGAGACCTCTGAGATCTTTCTTAGCAAGCAGTCAAGCCAAGCCCAATGACAGCTCTGCCTCCAACCACCCTCCCGGTGGGACCCGGCATGCCCGGACATTGCCCACACCCGGGTAACAGTGACACCTCCATCCACTAGAAGAGAACCAACATCAGAGTATTGGATCTGTTTGCATCTACCAGAAGGGAACCGTGGTCCCACCTCCACCAAGAGAACAAGAAACACTTGCTACACCCACCAGAAGAAAGGATGAGAAGAGGACAAGGTAAAAGCTCATCCAACAACAGAAAACACAATATGACACCACCAGAGACTAGGAACCATACACCAGTAAGACCTCAACATCACAATGCAGATGAACCAGAAGAGAATGACCTTAAAAACATCTTCAGGAAAATGAGGACATGAGAAAATCACTTAAAGAAATTGAAGACAAAACAAACCAAAAA